AAACTTACTCGTGACCATTGTAGCACTAAATGCACTATACGTGAGAAACATAATATTATAATATGATAGACTATAATTGTCTAAAACATAAGCAGCGTCTTGGCCAATTTTAAAGTATAATGTACCAACAATCAAAGCAATTGTCAAATGCATTGATATCCGTGTTAGCATTAATACCTACGTAAATAAAAAATAAAAAGAATTTAAAATTCTGTATTAATATTAACATTAACTTTCGATGTAATATGATAAATTACATTATAATATGTGTAAATCCAGCATTTGCAGCAATATCACTGTAAAATCTTCGCAATATTACTGCAACATGTAATGCTACAACTTTTGTGCAACTTTGTGCTGTAGGGGAAGTAACTAATTGAATTTATACAACTATTTCTCATTCAACTGAATATTTATGTGATATTAATTCTTATTCTTTTTCGATATTTAGTAAGTAATTTTCTCTTTAGCATATAGTAAAACGTATCTTATGAATAAAATTCGCAATGTATAGCAATATTACCTTATCGCGAAATAATCTAATTACGTTTCTTTTGATAAGAATACAGAGTTGCCTCCAAAAATTATCATATGTACAATATGAAGTACGTTTGAATTCTATTTCGAAGGAATATGATCTTTTAGCGATCTGTTGCGAGGTAATAGTTTCTTGTCTTTTGTTCAAATAAACGGTTTTCGTCGATCTCCATTTATTACTTTTGCCATTTTCGATCAATTCCATTAACTTGGATATGTGGGGACCATAATCGCCATTGCATATCTCCATCACTATGCATGGAAGAAGAGTTTTAAGTTTATGCTACCAAGATTTTTGCGCAATAATTTATCGGCTTTAAAAAGATACAGCTTACAGAAATCAACAGGATCATAATGTGTCGGACACACAAATCCTATACTATTTAGATATGGCACCAAATTATGCGTGCTGCCTGTGTAAACGCAATTGCCATTAGCAATCACATAAAGATGATCCAACATGTTGAAGAGGATTGCACTCGGCTGATGTAGCGTACAAATTATAGTTCGTCCTTCTTGTGCTAATTGCTTCAAAAGTGCTAGACATTGCTTTGAAGAAGTGCTATCTAAACCACTAAAAAGATAGAGACAATTATACATATATAAAAAGTATGTACATAATTAAAAATGTCTCGCTAAAAAAAATCATGTAATGTCTACCTCGTAGGTTCATCAAAAAACATAACTGGTGGATTGTTGATCAGTTCAAGTGCGATGCCGAGTCTTTTTCTTTGTCCTCCGCTAAGTACGCCAGTAATCATGTAACGAGACTCATCGAGACCCATCGCTACTAATATTTTGTCGATCTATTACATCAATTAACTTTTATCCATCAATTCGTGCATTAGAGAACTTCGATATAATATCTCATAAATTATGTAATTATACTGACAATAAGTAAAACCTCTATTTCGAGATCAATTAAATTACTTTGTTATTATAAAATAAAAGCTAATGTGCGTAAATCACTTATAATTTAATTCGTGGTAAATTTTTGCAACTCTTAAGAAATTTTTATTAAACATTATACAAATTTATTAAATATTATACAAATATATTACAAACCTTTTTAATAAATTGGATCAAAACTTGTTGTTATGTTTAGTTTTAAATATAAATTTTAAAATAATACTCATATTAGCTTCTTGATATTAAACTTCAATTAGCATTTCTGATCGATTAATTATCTGATTAAATTATGAAGATAGTTATTACATCTTAATTGACTATGAATAAGTTATCGTTCACGTTTTATTTTAATTTAACTTATTCATACTAAAATCGTATGTTAATTATTGTTTTATAATTATTGTTATATAAAAATGCAAATTATTTTAGAATCTATTTATAATTATCATCTTAAAGAAAAATTAGAAACAGCACTGTAGAATAATAATGGAAAAAGATAGCTTAAAGATTAACTTAACACATTCTCTTTACAAATAAAAACTTACAAATAAAAACAAATAAAAACAAATTATTTTACAACGCAATAAATTTTTTTTCCGCAATTAGTTTACATATTTCCCATTGTAAATATTTTATTTAACCCTTAAAGAATTTTATATTTATAAAAAAAAAGAAGTTTATAGTATAATGCTACCTTTTGCGATTTCTGATGATGATCTAAATCTAGTTTGAGATCAGCAGCGATGAACATAGCTTCTTGCACTGTTAAAAATGGTTGCAGATTATCATCCTGCATTATATAGGCGGATAATTTACGAAATTCCGACATATTTCGTTTTTGTCCATTTATCATGATTCTACCAGTAACTGAGGTTGTTCTGAAATGCAACATGTCGCTAATTCGTAATATCATAACTTCTCTCTATTAATGTAATTAACGTGATCAACGCGTAATTTATGTGTTGAAATATGTTTATTTGGGAGCAAGAATTGGCTGCATTTAATAGAAAAAGCAGCCTTGCAACTAGTATAAAATTCTCTAATATAATTGGTTTATACATTTAGATTCAGTGAAAAAGAGTAAGATTAATCATATTAAAGACTTTTACAATGGCTATAAAGCTACTTTTTCTGCTGAACGTTGTAGTCACTGTAACTAATAATGTATGCCTTTCAACGAGCGACATGGTGTGACACAATGAATCATTCTTGTTGTTTGCCAATGTTAAACAAAGATGAAATGATCACTGTGTACTGTGTCGCTTGTTAGAAAGCACACAATATTAGCCTGCCGTTCTTCTTAATATAATAATTATAACTGATAAACAATTAACTGTCAATATTTATGTGTCCTTGAATAATTTGCTAATCGATTGTCAATCATATTTATAAATAATTGAGAAATATTCAAAAAAGAAGATAAGGATGTGTAAAAAGATAAGATTATGAAGAAGATAAGATTAAAAGCTCATTTATACTTATGATATCGCAATGCATCATGACGCGATACATTTAAGGTGCATCTAAAAAGTGAACGGTATTGATATTGAAGATTACGTAATTTAGTGCATCCATGTACGTGACTTCAATGTTATACGCGCACAATTCTATCTAAGGAACAACTGAATTAACATGCGACTCTAGTATGTGTAGAATTTTAAGTACAATCTATAATTTACAATTTAAAATCTATGAAAAAATTTTTATAAGAAAATTTTGTTAATCGAAACCCATCAAGATTATCCGTATAATATCTAAATTCAAGTTTTTATCATTCGGTTTTTTTTTTAACGATTATCAGATTGATAATTAAGATATTTTTGTTCGGATTAACATTCCAGCAAATATTTAGAATACTTTGAATAAAATCTTCAGCTTATAACATATCTAAAAACATATCTTAAAAAAGGAGAGAGAAAGAGAGAGAGAGAGAGAGAGAGAGAGAGAGAGAGAGAGAGGAAAAGTGCTTAATACAATTCTTAATATAAAAAGAAAAAAGTCTAATAATAATAATATCATAAGTAAGATATATATATTATAATTTAAATTTAATGTAAATTTTTAATACTATAATTTTTATTAATAAAACAAGATTTTTTATATTAATTTCAATCATTTAATATT